TTTTTTAAATTTTTATGGTTCTTTATCTTCTGCTTTACAGATCGATAAAATTATCAGCCTGTTAGGCACTCCAACGACCAAGATTTGGCCTGAACTAGAGTCGATGCCGTTACTGGAGAATTTCACTTTGAAGACGCAGCCCTTCAATAATGTAAAAGTAAGGGAACTCAAAGATTGCATTCTAGCTATGCCTTACGATTTTGTGTAATTTTAGGTAGTGTTCGAATCGGCTTCAGTAACAGCTATCGATTTGCTCAATGCTTTGTTTATGTACGATCCTAAAAAGCGCATAAGTGCAGCGGATGCACTAGCACATCCATTCTTTACGGTAACTCATTTTCCATTTGTTAGTTTTACCAAAAGTACACATTTAAGGAACGTCCATTACCTTGTGATCCCGTCCTGATACCCTCTCTACCTCCTAGTTACACAAAGAAGCGGAAAAGGGACGAATCACCTCAACGATAACTTCTACTGATTCATTGCGGGTGTTAATATCCAGATAAAGTTCTTTTTCGCATTGTTTGCATGCCTATCATAATAATAATTATTATTAATTTTCATTACAAATAAAAGAAGTTTCATTATATAACAGGAACAGCAGGTAGTGTAGAAATGCGTTTACGGCAATAAAAAGGGAGCCGCTGTAGTACCGTTGGTCTTTTTTTGGATGATGTAGGCATTCCAGGATGGCCTGAAACAATTTTTGTAGTTTCCTAGTAATTTTAACAACCATTTTTAAAATCAATTCAGGGTGAAAAATATGCCTGCAATTTTTTTCCGTGAAATAAAACTGTTAAAAAAGTCTTATGCTATTAGTGAAGAGCGTCCTCAGAATAGCGCATTTACAGTCTATTTGTTCGATATTTACAGTTTTAAGTTCTACTGAGTAATTGATTTTGCGATTATATGGATGCTAAATTCATAAGATCGTAAAACGCTACTTTTGACTTCTTGTGCTCGGATGTTGCTACTACCGTAACCCTACAGTAATGCTCAGAAGACAAAACCGCTTTTGCATGCTATTGTAGTTCTACTAGACCTTCCACGATCAAAACAAAAAAGCAAAATTGAAAACAAAAAAGTTTTTCTCTATTTTCACATAAAACTTGACTCACAACATTATCTGTCCCTTAACTGCTTCATCCTCCTTTGCTACGTAGTATACGTTTTCTTGTATTTGTGTTAGATATCCAAGGAACCATCCATGCATAGAGAGCGTATCCGTCAATAGTGCCGCTCCACAAACTCGAGACGCAACGTATAAATCTAGCATTTGGGAAAAATCAGCGACATGTACCTACAAAAATTCTTAAATTTTTATTTTTTGTGTGGGCGATGGAGACGCTT